GCTGCTAACGTTACTAGCTATTCTAAAATGCTTGTTTTCTGAATGGAGTTTGGTTTGATTGATGCTAAGCTAAGCCAACATTGTATCAGCTCCATCAACACTGAAAGTAAAGATGTTTTTATCTTGCTATTGAATGTGTATCAAGGATCGAGGACTTTCACTGGTTTTGGTTTCTACATTTGTGGTCTGGTGAGCTCCGTAGAACAAACTGATTGTTCTAAAAATGAATATTTAACATGTTTAAACGTATTCACAGACAATGACGGGACACATAAGTCAAAATTAACACTTGTGATGAGATCCTGGTTTAATAAGAAGTAACAGTGACGTCCACATTAGTGGAGACCAGATCACGAGTGGAGGACAGCTGCCTGTAAATGTCCCCAGAGACACGTGGACCGGCCCGGTATCGATGTGTTCTGGAAGAGCCGGATAATGACCAGTAACGAGCAGGGGGACCAGAGGACAGCGATGTGGTCCCAATAAACCCGTCACACAGTCACTGATCCAGGGTCAGCAATCTCAGCATTTCATGTTTGGATATTTTGAATTGTTACATTTGAAGACATGTTGCACGGGTCAGTGAAGTGAAATGTGTATTTTCTAACACGTATGCTGGAGGGAGCGCTGAAGCTGAACACAGAATTAGCTCAGTCTCTTTAGACCCAGAACAGTAAGTAAAGCGAGCAGGAGCCTGCAGGGCGGCCTCGGTCCCCCGGTGCTCCCGCTACCCCGCCGCTACCGCCGGCTCTCAGCCCGTCTGCTCGCTGTGGAAACAACCCGAGCAGACGAACCACGAAGAACCAGGAGGACAAGAAACACGACGATCTGCACCAACAACGCCGATGATACTCACAAACAAACTACACAAAAATAAAGGAAAGTACTTCATGTTCCCCTCCCCTCCTCCTCCTCTCGTCCCCTCCTCTTCTCTCTCCGTTCACTTCCTGTAGTTCAGTCAAAGTTTCTCCTCCTTGTTGTCACATGACTGTTGGTCTCAGATGAATCAATCATGACTTCATAGTTTCACAATTTAATGTTTTTACACATTCTGGTTAAAGTGAACGCTTTATTAGAGGAAAGATTTTAAATGAGAACATGAAATATCACTATTTTAAGCTTTGTTTCGGTTGCTTTTTCTGATGGAAGCGTTCATCACACATGATGTATTCAAAGACCATCTGAAAGTTCAGCTTCTGGCTGAGAAAACATGGCGTGTTTTGGGCCTCAGAGGGGTGTGACGACGTGGAGGAGCGTCGTGGATGTTTGGATGCGAGGACGAGCAGTGGTAATGAACAGAACCCCACAGAGACCCACAACAACGGAGCTAACGTCAGAGATCGATGTGGTCGATATCTGGAGGAGATGATGAACGTTACTCATCTAACCACTGATCTCTGTGCTGTGACAACGTCTCATCAGATCTGAATCCAGCTCATCAAACTCACTCAAACAAAATATGGAATATAAATGAGATCGATGCACAAACAATAGAAACTAATTTATGGAATTATGGTCGTTCCATATCACATCACACAAACCTTACAGTTTATGATAATATTGTGAAAACTTCTAATGGGACCCTGCAGCTCTACTCAAACTACTTCTGTATTTATACACGTATGAAGGTTTGAAAGTCTTTGTATTCTCAGCATCATCTACTTGTTCTCCACTTTGATCTGGTGATGATTCATCATCAGGGGAACATGAATGTATGAATCTAGTTCCTTCACTTCTCGATGTTATTTCGTCTTGCATTTAAAAAAAGTGCCACAGATCTTATAAATAAAGCACTTAAGATATTTTAACTTGATTTCTTCTATATATAAAAACATAAAAAAGCACCGATGACCAACAGGGGAACATGAACGTATGAACCAAAATAGTCCATCAAATAGTTGAGAGCTTTTTCCCGGTGACGCTACAGGAGAAGCTAGAGGATCATCAAAGTCAGCAGGGTTCATCCTCTGGGGATCACGAACGCCTCCACAAACATGGTGATAAATGTAGTAGACGTTGAGATATTGCAGTGGCTAGGTGAAAACTTTGAGTATGTAATATACCGCTCAGAGGAGGAATGAGAGAACAGCGTTCTTGTATTGTTTGAGGATGAGCGGTCTTTTCCTTCCTGTTATCACGTTTGCACACGTCTCCTTCAATAAGAACAGTAAAAACGTTCACTTACCAATTTTCTGGTTGAATGTTTTGTCAAACGTCAGCTCGTCTCTCTCCTCCAGGTACTTCTGCATCACACTGCGGATGCTGTGAACACAAAGTAGTAAGTGAATTAATACACATAAATATATATATACACACACTGTATATCTCATCGTGTCAGCCCTCCTCCTCCATCTGTGTGATCCCGGCCTCGGTTTGGGACTCTCCCTGCCACCTGAGACCTGCTACCTAGGGAGAGGCTGTTAACGAGGAGAGTCGGGGACAACGAATCAATTAGCGCCCCTCCTCTCCTCCTCCACGGGGCCCATTAGCACTCCACCAGCACCCCGTAGAGAGAGAGAAGTGGCCCTGCTTCACCTACAAGGTGTGTACTGAGCATGTGCAAAGGAGGCTCCTTGAGACAAGGTCATCAGTCCTCCAGTGTGACAGCTAGGGCTGGGCGGTATGACCAAAAATGCATATCACGGTATTTATTAAGATTCTGGTGGTTTCACGGTATATCACGGTATTTTTTTTTCCGCGTTAAAGCATTAATTAATTAACGCCGAAAAGAACCGGCCGGCCAGCGAGCGGTGAACAGCTGTTTGTGTGCCGTGTCTTCCGTTCCGTCACTTCCTGTTTCCTTCACCTACATTCCCCTGGGTCCTAAGCCCCTCCATGGAAAGAAACGGGATTAGACCGTAGGCTTTAGTTGTTAGTAGGTGTTGTTTAGGTTTATTTCTTTAGTTATTTATATATATAAATATATATTATTTTATTATCAGAACAGTGAAGAAAAGGTTACCCTGAAAATGCACACTCCAGTACAGTAGGTGGCGGTATGCACCTATGCAAGTTGGTTGCGATCTGCCAGTGGAATTTAAAGAAGAAGAAGAAGTCCCTCCATGTACAGCTTCTTATCACTGTCCAACGTACATTTATAACAAATACCACACATATTACGGTAATCAGCGTTGCATACGTGTCTGACCCAAATACCTTTTGCTGTTCAGTCTTTGTGAACCTGACAAATCTTTACCAACAAATAAAGACTTAAACTAAACTGCATCATCATGAAGCTGCTGTATATGTTGGGTTTGTATCAGACACAATGGCTGAACTGTAAACACAGATGTATTTTACATGTAATACATTAAAAAAATGAATAATGCCTGATTTGACATTTGTTAGCATCAAAGCTATAGGAGGTCTGTTTGTCACAAATTGCTCATTAAATGTTTAAAATGTAGCATTTATGTTCATATTATCTATTTCTGGTTTCAGGTAAGCAAATAACAAAAGTCAAGCTATAATAAAAAGGCAAAATGACTTTCTGTTATTGTCACTTCTATATTTTCTCGAGCCAGTAACATTAAAACTACAACATGTCCGGTGCAAACTGGGATTAATTACCAGCCATAATAACACTCCCGGCAGCAGACCAGTAGTCCCAGTTACTGATGAGCATGCAGCGCTTAATGGCAGCTACACAGGAACAAGGAGCTAGGAAGTAAACACTTCCTCTTTGAGAGGACGCCTGTTTGCTGCTGAATCATTAGCAGCTGACTCTGTTGGTGTGGAACCTCTGAGACACTTCTCGGCGCCATATTAAGACCGTCGGTGACATTCAGAGTAAAAGTCTGTTTCTGAAGCCGTTGGTGAGGTTAGCTAGGAGAAGCTATCGGTGCACAGGAGCTTTAAAAACACCACAGGGGCTATTTTCTATAATGTCAGTTCAATATCTAAGAAAACATTTTAACACGTCTCTCTAAATATATAAAAATACACCACAGCAGCTCTCAAGAACACGCAGACCTCGTTGTGAGCGGTTACACCCAAGAAACACCTCCGTTAGCTACGGCTTCACACATTAGCGTTAGCTCACGGGAGCAGACGACCTCCTGCTGTGACGAGTCACCGCTGCGAGCAGAGATGAAATAAGGCAGTATCACAAGCGTAGGAACTTTGTGAAGAAAATATATTCAAATGTGTTCATCACTGAATTAGCAGAGCTTTGTTAGCGGTTATTATTTAATCTAGCAAGTTCACTACACAGCAAAAGTAACAAGTGACACACACACACACACACAAACGGAACTCTCGTTAGAAGAGATCATTTGAAAAGAGGCGCTCGTAAGTAGGCAGCTGAATCTATTTTAAAATACTGATGACGACAGGAACTCACGGTTTAAACAGCTCATAATCTAATATCTATTTTATATTCATGTGAAAACATCTCCTTCAAACTACTGGATTTATTCTAGTTTATCACCAAAACTACATTTTACAGATGACATGTGAACACATCATGATAACGTTATAATGTACCTTCAGCCAGTACTCATGTTCACTGAGCAGAGCCTGAAGGCATCATCATGTAACTGAAGTGAGCCTCCTGTTGGTTAGCCGTTAGCAGTGCTGCTAATGTTACTAGCTCTCCTCCTGTTGGTTAGCCGTTAGCGGTGCTGCTAACGTTACTAGCTCTCCTCCTGTTGGTTAGCCATTAGCGGTGCTGCTAACGTTACTAGCTCTC